AGTGAGTAAATAAATTAAATTCTTTTCTTAATTATTCATTAGAAAAATATGGGTTGATCTGATATTCTGGCTTATATTGTAATTCGTACACGGCGGGTGTCACAAGAAGCCGATCACGCTGGATCATGTGCCTAGGGCAGTTTTGCTGCAATATGTCGCACACTGTGGTGCCGCGGGTTGCCAAATATCAAGAGGGCTTGAATGAAACAACCGTGGCAGGCTCGATATACAGTGTAATTCCTGAATTAATTAAGCGCTTTTTAAAAGCTTATTGAAAATACAAAAGCAGGATAAATCCTTAAAAACGAATATTTTGTATTGTTGTATTCTCTTTTACACCTCACTACAGAATTATTCTGTAGTTTTTTCGATTTGAGATTAGGCAGTGAGTGTAGCACAGTTGAAAAAAAAAGGCAGGTGATTCACAGGAAGAACTGGTGCTGGACCACATAAAATGACATGACACTCCCTATTGAGAAGGGCCAGAATGTAATCTCTCTGGTATCCAGCGTATTTCACACAGGTCGACTTCATATTATACACTACATCATCGGATATAAAATCACAGGAATAAAAGAAAATAATAAGACCTGCTTGGAAGAGCGTATGACGCCTACGTTCTTTCAAACCTTTCATTCCAGACAGAGAGGCTAACAATAATTGTCTTTCAGCTGTGACACTGACACGCAATGGGACTACAAATTATTTCGTAAACACGTATTTACAAAACATTTCGCCCTTTTTTAGACCATTCCATGTCCCACTATATATTTCAAACCTTGCAGCGTTGGTGTACTTCATATGACCCTATGGGTTTAATATAAAAACAAAAAAACAAAACGACAAATTTAGGAGCAGAAATCTGAGAAAATTGTTCTGACCCAATAATTTTCATTGTCTGTCTTTATAGACGGGGAACGCGATAGCGTAGTTGGTTCAGGTACTATGTTACAAGTCGGAAGGTCGCGGGATCAAATCCCAATGAGGTCATTGTTTTTTTTTTCAATTGATCTAATCCTTCCAGCCGCACAATGGCCCTGAGTTCGACTCAGCCTCTAACAGAAATGAGTACCAGGAATATTCTTGGAATGTTCTTGGGGGTAAAGGGCGGCCGACGCGTAAGGTAGACAACCTTTCCGCCATCTATCAGCCGACTGTCTAGAAAAAATGTGGGAACCTCAACGTCTCGCAACCTTATGGGCTCCACGGCCTCTTACAGGGATAGCTTTATTTTTTACTTTTTTACTTATCTTTATAGACTTAGTAATAATAATTCAACATGTCTGCAGAAATCCGCAACGTCTTTTATGGTAGTAAATTATGTCAATTTTCCATTAAGTCCTTAAAATTTGTTGGAAACATTCAAAAACAAATTTTAGTTTCACCCATATTAAATTCAGGCTGTCCTTGTAGATTCTAAATAGTACTGACGATGGTGTTTAGCACTCAGGCTTTTTCGATTTTTGGACTTTGTCTGTCGTCCATTATTTTAAGCAACACAATGTTTCGGCGACCAGATCTTTTCCCTTCTTCAGATGGGAGACACCTACTCCGTTAGAAAGAGCTGATATCCAGTGATTGGGGTTAACGTTTTCTAAGGGACCCACTAGAGTGTCTCCTAGCTCCTCACCTGAGGGAGGAAACAGATTTAGTTTCCGAAACGTTGTGTTCTTTAGAATACCGGACGACTGACAAAGTCCAGAAACCCAATAAACCTTAGTGTCACACTGTCCTTGTTAAACTTCTATGACCTTGCAAGTTTAATGTACTGAGCTTCATAAAGTGTCTGACAACAGGTAATGAGGTTTCTAATCGCTGCAGGAAGGGTCTAACACGTGTGCCACAAGACAGACGCTCCAATATAAAAGTTGCTTTGTCGCTGACAGGAGAGATCATCAGCACTACGCGCTGTGCTTCTTGACACAAAACGCGAGCAGACAGTATCACACAGTGTAAATTACTTCTCTTCTTTCACGCTCTTTGCCATGCGCCGTAGAGAGACACACCTCACCGTACTATGCTTGAGTTAATTAAACAGCATGCAATTAAGACATATTGTGGGGTGGAGGCATAGCTCCACCATTTTTGACCTTCACTCTTCCGGTACCCATTGGATAGAAGGCTGGGCGCTGTGGAATAGAGAAAAGGCTCTTGCCCTGCCAGGAATCGAACCCCGGTCGTAGTCTGTTGCTGTACCGACTGAGCTATTCCGGCTCTCTATATCTATGTTTATAAACAGGAAGGTAAAATGTAAAGGTAAAGTTATCTCTGTAACAGGTCGTGGAGGCCCATAGATTTGTGAGACGTCGAGGCTCCCACGTTTTCCAGACAATCGGCTCACAGACTGTCAGGTTGTTAGCCTTACGCTCCGGCAGCCCTTTACCCCCCGGAAGATTCCTGGTATTCATTTCTGTTAGAGGCTGAGTCGATCCCAGGGCCATAGTGCGGCTGGAAGGTTTAGGTAAATTGAAAAAATCCACGGCATCGGGATTCGAACCGGCAAATTTCGGTATAATACATCGATTACGACATACCGCTTCCTTCCAGATCCCTTCAAAATTTTAATTCATCAGTCATCCTGCTAATCGACGATATATAGTCTGGAGAGTAACTCCATGGAGCCGAGTCCTCTATGAGAAGCTGCCGGTTTCTCACACACTCAAGAAATTCCCAACATTTTATGAGAACCCTAAAGTTCATTAAGTGTTCACAAGAGTCCGTCCGTGAACCCTATCCTGAGCCACATGATTACAGTACATACCACCCCTTCTTATGTCTTTAATATCTATTTTAATATTATCTTCCCGTCTACGTCTTCCTATTTGCGTTTTTCCTTCTTGTTTCCCCACCAAAACCTGTTATGCATTCCTCTTGTCTTCTATGCATGCTAAGTGCCCTGCGAGTCTCAGCCACGTTAATTGGGTCATTCAAACCATAAGACAATATCAAATGACCAGGTCTCAGGAGCTCTGCAGTTTTAATATGCAAAAATTAATTATCTGCTTAAGCTAATTTCCAGATATAAAGTGTGAAGACAAAGCGCACTAGACAGTGCAAACGGTGAATCCCCGACCGTTCTACGAAGGTCATACTATTAATTTGCTTGTAATTATGTCTCATTAAACCGTACTAAAAAATATATGTATGACGTGGTATTACGTAAATTAAGAAATAAAAACAGTAATTTGGACATTCAGTTGATCCCTTATCTTCCATACGGCATCAACATTCATATTTTTATGACTGAATTAATTTAGTTTCTTCACAAACCATAAACAGATGCTCATTACATGCACGTCCCATGAAGTATTTAAAATAATAGGGAATGACGTGGAAGCAAGAAGCAGGAGGCTTCTTACTTGACATATACTTTTTACCTGAAGATAGAGGCAAAAATTCCCGTCGAAACGTCAATATTCTTCTAACGGGCTACGCGACGTAACTCATACATATTTCCGTTCTGCTTTTAGAGGTACGTGATTTCGTCTTGATAGGAGAAACACATTTCGACACGCGGGTTGAGATAGTACAGCATATGGAACTTCGGTCCGCAACAGCAAATACAGAGGATGTGGAGGTTCCGTGAGGTCTGACCTGTGGATTGAGCTGTATTCAAATTACAGCCTTTTGCCTCAGACATGTGGTTACGAACTGTCAGGCACAAACACTCATTTCAATTAAGCGCAGGAGTAGTGGATGTCTACCGTTGCTTAGTTGCAGATATCTACAGGACAGTGAAGTGTACTATGCTCTGTGACGTGATACCGTGTAGACTGACAAACGTTTACTGACGTTCTGTCTCCATATTCAGGGTCGATGAGTATATCAATTTGACTTATAATTCGGCCCTGAAGAAAGAGGCAATAAGTTCCTCCGTAACCTCCGTAAACTTCTGCCAAGCTATACGGCCGTAACATCCTAACAGTTACTATTCTTCATAGTTACCTTATTGAGAATTTTACATCCTATATGATTATTTTGTAAAAATGTACCTTTCTTTTAGATTATCTTGAAGATAATTTAGGAGACCAAGTCAATTCTCTATGGTACGCTGTGACGCCTGAGCTTGTGAAGCTGAAGAATCTCTACTGTTGGAAACCGTTTCCAGGGAACGGCTGGTGAAGATATAATAGGCTGGAAAAGGCTTAACGGGTGCTGTGGTGATTAGCGAATGCGCTGTAATTACTTGTAGTCCCGAACAACAAATCAATTCATCAACCCAAACCCCGTCTATAGACACACCTAATACGTGATGACATAAATTTACTCTGAAATTAAATAAAAAAAAGTATTCTTTTGTAATTACTACAGCTGTTTCGGGGGGGGGGACGCGGTAGGGTAGTTGGTTGAGACACTATGCTACAAGCCGGAAGTTCGCGGGTTCAAGTCCCGATGAGATCATAGGAGTTTTTCAATTGACCTAATCCTTCCAGCTCCACTATGGTCCTGGAGTCTACTCAGCCTCTAACAGAAATGAGTACCAGGAACATTCTTGGAATATTCCTGGGGGTAAAGGGCGGCCGGCGCGTAGGGCTGACAACCTTTCTGCCATCTATAAGCCAATTGTCTAGAAAATGTGGGAACCTCAACATTTCACAACCCTATGGGCCCCACGGCCTGTTACAGGGATAACTTTACTTACTTTACAGGCCGCGCCATAGCTCAAGCGGTTAGCCGCTGGCTTCCCACCGTGGCGGCCCGGGTTCGATCCCAGGTCTGGTTAAGTGGGATTTGTGGTGGACAGAGTGGCGCTGGGGCAGGTTTTCTCCGAGTACTTCGGTTTCCCCTGCCAATCTTCATTCCACCAATTGCTCCACAATCACCCTCACCTATCATCTGGGGCTGGTACAATAGGCCAGAAGTGGCCGCAGTACAAAGGACTTAGTCCCACCCCACTTACATAAAAAAAAAGTAGTTACTTTACAGATGTTTCGGCTCCACCAGCAACCAAAACGTCACATGCATCTCTGCGCTACTCCGTGTATGCATCGTGTACTCACCTCCCTGTCTTGGTGATAATCATCTCGGTACCCAGGTCGTGGAACTTGTCCCACAATTCCTTGGTCTCCAGGTGGCACTCGGTCTGCAGAAGCTCCTCGCAGTTGCACCGGATCTTCACTTTGGCCGCTGCGCCCGCCTTGTCATCGGCCGGATCCGGTGAATCCCCGTCTGTTTCGTCGCCTTGCTCGGAGCCTGACTCCGAGGCCGTGGTGGCCGGCTTCAGCAACTTTCTGGTTCCCAGCCTGTGCTCATGCTGCTGCTGGATGCTCTCGCTGTCCGAGCATTCCTCCACATCCACCTCAATATCTTCGTCGTCCTCGTCAACTGTCGGCTGGTCGCCGTCAGTATCCAAGTCTTCAACGCACTCAACTCGGCTGCCCTGCGCACGACGGGCCAACTTGTCCCTTTCGTCCTCCTCAATATCAGAGCCGCGGGCCGTCTGGTGCCTGCGGCCAGCTGACTGAGACAGCCGTTCTGTGCAAAACATAAAGGATTCACTGAGAAGAAACCAATACGATCCTTGCGCATGCAACATTGCTCTCGCTCAGCAGCCGGTCAAGAAATTCCCTAATCCTTTTTGCAGGCATAGTTTTTACTCCGGTACCCACTGAATATTTTGCTGACGAGAAAAGAAAAAAACTTTTACTCCAGCCAGGTATTGAATCCCGGTTCCTCAGCCATCCAGCCCATAGCTCAGTGTCATACCGACAGAGCTATCGCGGCTCTTATGTACATGTCTCGGCCACATGCTCCCTAATCCTTCTAAGTTCGCTAATCGCAATTTCTTATTCATACATTCCACGAAAAATATCAGGCAATTTATGTGAAGTCGTTAAATAGCCAAATTTCCATCTCATCACTCTTTAGGTTTCCCCATTTCACGCGTGCTACATTATTTGTTTATCAGATCCTACTTGATTGTATAATCCTAACAAAAAATCTGCTTTGTTCCATTACTGTCTCTTGTTATCTCTTCAATTCTGTTTTAGTCCTCTTTGAGAAGCCGCCAGTTGTGCAGCTATTTGAGAATTTCCCAAAATATTACGGATATCAAAGGTTTACTACCAAGTTTACCATGTTCAAAAAATCCCTCCCCTGGTCCTTAACCTAAGCCAGATCAAGCCAATCCACGCAATTCCATCATATCGCTCTAAGATCTATTTTAATACTATCCACACACATACATTAGGTCCTCCTAGTGTTTCTGTTTTTTTTCTGGCTTTCCCATCAAAATTCCATATCCATTACCCTTCTCCCCCTCTCATGCTACATGCTATGCTCATCTAATTTTCCTTAACTTTATTATTTTAATTTACGTATTTAGCGAAGAGTACAAGTTATGAAGATTCTCATTATATCCAGCTTTTTATCATTTCATCTCTCTTCAATCCAAGTATTCTCCTCAACACCCTGTGCCCAAACACCCTCAGTCTATGTTGCTCCCTTAATGTCAGACACCAAGTTTCACACCCATACAGAACAACAGGCAAAATTATAGTGTGGATGTTCTACTCAATTCTCTTATTTAAATAAATTTGGAGGGTACACCGTCACACATGTTTCGACACAGGCAGGCCATCATCAGGTAATTCATGAGAAATATACAAAAGATGACGGAAGACATAAACAAAAAATTCTGGGAAGACCTAATCTCCTGCTTTCCTTTCATACGACACCTAATGCATTGAAAAAGACACAGACACACAGACAGTANTGGTCGGTAAAATTGACTCTAATATTAATTAAATACACAACAGGATGCAAGAAACAATTAAAACATATTTTTATTTGTTAAAATAAGGAAATTAGTCTAAATAACTACAATGCTAGTAAGGTAAACGCAATGGCCGCGCCATAGTTCAAGTGGTTAGTCGCTGGCTTCCCAAAGCGGCGGCCCGGGTCTGGTCAAATGGGATTTGTGGTGGACAAAATGGCGCTGGTGCATGTTTACTCCGAGTACTTCGGTTTCCCCTGCCAATCTTCATTCCACCAATTGCTCCACAATCACCCTCACCTATCATCTGGGGCTGGTACAATAGGCCAGAAGTGGCCGCAGTACAAGGGACTCAGTCCCACCCAACTAGCAATATAAAAAAGGTAAAGGCAAAGCTATCCATGTAAGAGGCCTCGGAGACCCATAGGGGTTGTGAGACGTCGAGGCTCCCACATTTTCTAGACAATCGGCTCACAGATGGCGGTAAGTTTATCAGCCTTACGCGCCGGCCGCTCTTTACACCCAGGAAGATTCCTGGTACTCATTTCTGTTTGAGGCTGAGTCGACCCGAGGGCCATAGTGCGGCTGGAAGTTCAATTGAGAAGTCAAATTACTTCATGGGGAATTGAACCCATGACCTGCCGGCTTGTAGCGTAGTGCCTCAACCAACTACACAACAGCTACTTAGTCTGGTTGCCCTGCTGCTGTGCCCAAGCCATGCAAGGCCTCTGTGACGCACGCCACACACACAGAGAGACTAGCAACAAGCGCCTTATTCTCCGGTAGCCAATGAAACACCTCGCAATGGAGTATCGATTGTGCACGCTGTTACCAGGTAATTCCATTACATCTGTACCGACCGCACTGCTCACTTTAGGTTACAAATTGCCCGTGCCCTGGCATTAACTTTCTTGAGTAAACACTTTCATGCATTGGTTATGGTAACCGGGAAGAAACAACTCATAAGAGCATGCCGGAATAAAATAACACCTCAACTCTATCTATTTCAAAGATCAAGAGTGGTGGAGCTATACCTCCACTCAACGTATCTATTCATGGATAACTAACTACATGGAGCTGAGCCCTTCTTGAGTAGTGCAGCTACTCAACAATTTCCCAACAGCTCTGGAAACCAAAGGTTCGTTATCGTGTTCACAAAAGCCCTGCAATGGTCCGTATCCTCAGCCAGATCAATTCAGTCCACAGCACCTTAACTTATCTAAGATCCATTTTAATATTATCCACCCAACTATGTCTACATCTGCCTAGTGCTCTCTCTCCTTCTTGTTTTCCCACCAAAATCATATACGCATTCCTCTTCTACCCCGTTCGTTCTGAATGCACTGCCCATTTCATCCTCCTTGACTTGATCATTCTAATTATACTTGTAGAAGAGTACAAGTTATGAAGCTCCTCATTATGCAGTTTTCTCCAAACTCCCGTCACTTCATCTCTCTTCGATTCAAATATTCTCCTCAGAACGCTGTTCTCAATCACATTCGTTAAATGTCTTCATGGCAGAGTGCTTAATTACACAATTAAGCATAAGAATAATTTCGTGTTACAAACGTGGAAGTGGAAAAAGCCATGACGAGATTTTGACGGATTTACACGTCTTCAGACAAAGCGAATATGAGTGGTCCTTGGAACGTACACGTGCACCTCGCATGTGCTTGAACGATCACACCAACTTCATTCGTGTTCAGGATTTAAGTGTTACGTCATATACCGGTGCTCGGCGTTCATGTACATTCCAGTTCTGAAATACTGGACCCTTCAGATTAGCTCCCACCCCTCACAAAAAAATTATATTTTCGAAATCTGTTAAAAGAATTTTTATTAGATTATTGTAATTTATGGAGAAGACGTCCCTAAATAAATTTGCAGAGTAGACTGGTATTGTAGTGGTACTTTACATTTGTACTCCAATAGTACAGAGTTCGAATCTCGTCAGGGTAACAGGCTAACGTAACTGATGTTCTATGTATAATTGTCCATATCCGGGGAAACGCTGTTTCGTTGTTGTTGCCTTCTCTACGCAACGGCTCACTGTTATTGCGTTCCCATGGAAGTACCAACTGCAAACACGTTGCAATATTTAAATAGGACAGAATCATCTCTCTCTATATTTTTAAACATTTAATATTACCTATTATAGTGTAATTAATTGAAAGGGCTGTGTTAAATAAATTAAAATTCAGCCAGAATTCAAACTGTGTTACTTGCAAACTGCGCAGTTCGGAGAGGATGTCAATTTATTCCGTCAGATGAAATGCAGTACCGTGTGATTCTCCACACTTTCCGCAGTGTCGTTACCCTTGTCAGTGCCACATTATAAACACTGCTTTAAAAACAGGGGTGTCAAACTAGCGGTACCGGCGTCAAGTTCGACAATGATTAAGATTTCGACCAAAAATGGGATTAGCCTACAAGTTTTGTTATGTCTTGGAGTTCGAAATATTTTGCAAGATATACGAATGTACATACTACCAGTTATTACGGATAATATTGTGACGTGTCAACGCATTGCCAGGCAACGGCTCGATAAACTCCCCGTGATACGCGCACGCAACAATAGGACGAAAGTTTATAGCTCGTTGCTAGGCAACAGTCAGCGGGCAAATGGACTATAGAAGTAGGTATCATGTGATTTGTTTTCTCTGTTGTCTGCGCTATGCTACAATAGAACTGTGTTTTCTGCGTCTTCCGTGCGGCGGCTATATAACCGAGTCCGCTTGCAGCTAAAGAGAGTGCAGGAGGGTTGAGCAGTTGAGAGTATAAGGATGAGAATGGAGCGTGCCCTTGGCGAACTGTGAAAATTAGTTGAGTACAGATTATGACAGAGGATTACAGAGTGACTGAAGAAGAAATGACAAGAATTCATAGTGATTTGAAGTGATAGGTTCTGTGTTGAGATCCGTTTGCCAGGAGACGACTAGTAAAGGCGGAGAATCCTAGTGCGTGTGCAACTGTGAACTGTAAAATGTGTAACTCAGCGATGGCGCTCTATTGATTGTAATTGAGAGAGTGTGTAACAGACGTTCTAATAAATCTAATGATCCGAATTAGAACCCATTATTTTCGTCACAAGTATTACCCAGAAAAGTGATATTATTGTTTAAATGAGAACAAATTTTACTCACTAATCAGACACCATTTTCACATAAAAATGAAGTTAAAAATTAAAAGGGTAAAATGTACGAAGGCAAGAATCCCTTTCATTCATCTAAAAATTAAATACACAAATCTGTGCCCAGGCTTGGAAACAGCATATAAGTACGCGTATTAACTCGAAAATTCTTTTCTCGTGCGCCTTCGCAAGAATTTGAAAAAAAAAAAAGTACGTGTTACTTTCATCACGCCCGTCTGTCTGTCCGCATGAAACAAAGTGGCTCCCATCAGATCGATCTGCGTTGACAGTTTATATTGAGATGTTTTATTAAATCTGTGAACAAAATTGCAATTATCGTTAAACTCGGACAAATATATCGGACACTATTTACAAAAAGCGAAATTCGTATTTTTGAGAGTTTCTCGCTCTGTTTCCTGGGATTGCCATAAAAGCGAAATCATAATTTTACCATTTATTAATTTCATAGATGAAATATCTAAAAACGCCTCAAATGTTACGTAATATTTTTTTTTCCTATCTTTGTTCACATATTAGCATTAACTTGATGACTACGGTTTTAAACGTTAGCAATTATATTTGAAACTCTTCGCTTCATGCAGTCATTTTAACCTCTAAAGCCCAGCGTTT